AGAAGAAGAAGAAGAAGAAGAAGAAGAAGAAGAAGAAGAAGAAGAAGAAGAAGAAGAAGAAGAAGAAGAAGAAGAAGAAGAAGAAGAAGAAGAAGAAGAAGAAGAAGACCTAAAGTTTTTTCCACTCTCTCCTTCACCATGGCTCGGAATCGATCGAGGATTAGGGGCGGCAGCGGCTTCATCCCAACACCATCTCCCTATAGAATTGATCGAGGATTAGAGGCGGCAGCGGCTTCATCATAACACCATCGCTATGGATTTGCAGCGTTAATTTTCGCTTTCCTTTTATCTTTTCTCCTGAATTGAATGTGATGCGAAGGGGGTCCCATGAGAGAGCTATTGCGGCATTAGGAAAACTTCGAGATTTAAACTTGTCCTCTATTGCTATTAAAGGTAATAAGCCTACCGGTTTTGCTCTGAAGCCAACAGTTGGCTTCATAGTGGAGCCAACCTTCTATATACAACAAATAAATCATATCATGTTAATAAAATTATATTAGTGTTATTTAAGTAATTCGAAAACATGGTAGGTTTATTTGTTGTATATAGACGATTGGCTCCACTATAGAGCCAACTGTTGGCTCCATAGAAAAACCGGTAAGCCTACTTTGGTTCTATGTTTTTTTTCTTTTATTCCATTTTCCCATTAGTTATGAACAGTAGGGTGTGATTAACATGAACCATTGATTGCTATTATTGTTATTTCATCTTCAGTAATGGGGTTCTATGTTGGCTTGTGTAGTTGCTACTTCTGAAGCTCTGGTTGGAATTTATCTAGAACATTATCGAGTAAACAAACAACACCGATAAGATCAATTTTTTTTTTTATTTGGCTTAAGTTTATTTCTTTCTTGAAAAATTGAAAGTGAAATAACATTGCTCTTCAAATATAATATCCCGATGATTTTGGTTCACTTTGTTAAGGAGGTTTGCAATTGCGGATTTAGCTCTCCAAACAATAGTAACAATCAGACTAGAAATTGGTGATGGGGGTGGCCTTGAGGTTCTGAGGCCCATATCAGGACACTAAAAGGTCTTATCGAGCTTATATGTGGTAACCTTGACTCGGGTAAGTAAATTATAGAATTGCTCTTTTGGAAGCCTCCTTGTTCTTTTTTTTTTTTTTTTTTTTTCTTGGTGAGGGTTCTAAAATCTCAAAGTATGGTCCATCAATACAGGGATATAGAGAGGAACAAGGGTTTTAGTGCTCGCCTAGTGGGGGACGCAATCAAAATTAGGGTTTTGAACCGCCACACGAGTTACAAACGGAAAAAAAGAAAAACACACGGGAAGGTACCCGATTGCCGCCGCCCCATTTGAGCCGCTCCTCCCACTCCTCTCTCTACCACTCGGTGCCCTACTTTAGCTTCTTTCTTTGGGTTCTATCTTGACGTCGTATATATTCAGTATATGTACAATATATGTACAATATATGTACATCTTAATGATATGTTTAGTTATTTTACATCTTAGTTTATATTTGGTATGTTAGTTATATACAAATTAATTATGTTCTTATGTACATCTTAAGTATTGTTTTTAATTGATGTTTGCCATTTTATGTTTAAAACAAGCATAAACTGATTTTTTCGATAAAACGGTTTGACCTTATATAATTTGAAAATGTACACAACACAGAATTCGAGAATATATTCTTACAACAAAAACCCAAAATATGACATGACAAACAACAACACTGATTGTAGCATTATCTTTTTCAGTATGTCATTAATGATTTTGATGGAAAACTCTTTCTAAAAATGATTTGTCTTTATTCTTATGTTATTTTATATAGATAGATTATTCATTATACTTATAATTTTACTCCCATTGTTACCCTTAGTTTCATGATTTTTATATCTATCTGCAGCTTAGTTCCATGATTCCTGCCCTTGCAGTACAGCTGCAATAGGGCTCCTAGCAGTGTATTTACAATAAGACCATTTTAGGAATCCTTGAACAAATGGCTTGTTGGGTGTGGTCGCAAGCCGTGTAAACGTCACATGATACTGCTTTTTCTCGTTCTGTCTTGAGAAGTTAAGTGTATTGGGCTCTACAAGAACTTTGATACCAACTAGGGGGACAATAGTCACTCTGTAAGTTGATTCAGGGAAGCCGACATTTGTTACGGTCCTAGTATACTTGTGAGAAACCGGTTGACCACCCGTGAAATTAAGGACAAACGACTGATAGTTTAGCTGGGCTTCAGGTATGCTTATCTGTTAGATCTATTTGGGATTAAATATGTGTAATTAATACATTGGGTCATTATATTGTTTAGCCAAAATAAAGTGATTAAATTATTGTTAATTGGCTAAGGAACTTAATTTAGATTGTGGAATGGTTAAATCTGGACACCCGGTAATATTATTATTTGGTGACGTAACAAATAATAATATTAAAATAAAGGACCTAAATAACATATAATTTGGGTCAAAAATTATTTATGGGTGGAGTCCCCAAAAGCCATGAAAATAAAGTGATGCCCATTCGGATAACCCATACGGAATTAAAAAAAAATTAATTAAAGGAGGTGGTTGGTGTTGGTTGCCGACACACTCTTTTTTATTAATTGTGAATTGATTAAGGCTAATCAATATAAAATGGGGAAAGGGGGCATCAGTTTCAAGCGAAAGAAGATTTCTTCTTCATAAGTTTTATCAGCTGAAGTTCTTTTCTTTCATACGTCCGAAAGAAAAAAAGGATTAATTCACGGGCTTTTGGA